AAATATTTGTTTGAAATAATTCAGTTTTCTGGAGATATCTTCAGCTTGAGTTTCTAATAGACTGAAGGTCAAACATGTGAAGTATTTAGCCCAACATCTAAAACTTTTGACTCAAACACTATATGTTAGCCAATATTTAATGTTGATAAAAGTAAGGCACTTTCCAACCCAAGATATAGGTAATAATAAAAATTAAATAGAATGAATTAAAATGAGCAAAAAATGAGCAAAAGAACATGGCTGATTTAAAAAGTAAAATTGAAGACATACCTTAATTTACTCACAAGTAAAATCACGTACTATGCTTTAAGCAAGTTAGAAGGGTAGGCAATGAAGAACGTAAAAACCCATTTAGTTAGTGTGCAATTCTTTATACAGGAGACCTGTTTTCACTAAGTTTGAAAGTGAGAAAAATGTTTCAGTAATTAAACATCAAGATCACATTGTGAAATATGCTACATGCTTTTTCATTTTATTAGAGAGTGATGCCAAAGAGTGACTCATGGAACATGCATAGTATAACTAGAAATATTGAAAATAGAAAATCCAAGTCTAGGGGCACTTGGGTGGCTCAGTGGGTTCAGCACCCGACTCTTGGTTTCAGCTCAGGTCATGATCTCGTGCTTTGTGAGTTTGGGCCCCATGTCAGGCTCTGTGCTGACAGCTGCTTGGGATTCTATGTCTCCCTCTCTCTCTCCCAAAATAAATAAATAAACTATTAAAAAAAATCCAAGGGCAGAGACAGTCATTCAGTTGAATTACTTCATCTCCATCATAGAACAAATACATATTAACATACAAGTAATATAAGAATTTATTTCCTATCCCCTTCTTAGTCCTTAAAAATGGCCAAAATCTTATTTTTGGGTGTGGAAGTGGTGAAAGCATGAAGTTTGCTAGTGAGTGATAATAAAACATGAAGACTCTATGACAGCATGAATGATGATTTATTATGTGAACTGCTGTGGGGTACAACAGCATTAACTACATTATTTTCATCCTAATGTTTCTCCCCTGGTAGGTGCCTTTGGGTGTTCTGTATACAATCAAGATGTCAAGTAATTATGCCAAAGGTCTTTCTGTTTCAACAATTTTCTGTAACTTCTAATTGCCAAATAGGAGAGTAACAAAGGAAGGAAAAGTGAATTGCTGTTCATTTCCATTTACAGGGTTTCAAAGTGTGTGGATTTTGAAAAAAAAAAATTTACTAATAAACGTAACAGTGGCTTATTTTTGTTGGGAAGATCTCCATCACTTAGAAAATTCTGAGGTAAGATGAAATATAGGAATGAATTAAAAATTCTTTTTCCAAAATACATATCAGTTTAATACATCTATATACATTTCCGTATTATTTTAAAATGGAAAGCTTCAAAGAATACAATTATAGATGAGATTAAAAATACATAATGGTTGCAAGTCAATTGTCAATATAAAATTATTTAAAATCCAGTTTTCATGAGAACTTTGCATTTATTAATGATGACATGCTTTAGTTATGAATTAGCCAACTTTATGTTTATATATTGAAATTAGATTCAGAAATGGTTTGGAAATTATTTACATGGTAAAATGTAGGCTTAAAAAGATGAATTCTAAGATAAAATAAAACAAAGATGGAATGCATACATTTTAGGAGATTGATGAGAAATCAAGGAAATAATTCTTTTAAATACTCATGTATCTATTTCTAGCACTATATGCCAGATTCGTTCAGTGCCAACTCGAATTAAAGAGAGACATAAGATAATATGTTATGATAGACAACATATGTAAAAAGCTGTAAATGTGTTTTAGTTAACTTTGAGATGGAAGTCACTATAATGCATGTGAAATTAGATTAAGTACAGGTTACATTATTTTATTGAATGCTATTTCCTAAATAGATATTTCAGAGAGGATATACCTCCAAGATCTAGCTGTGTTTAACACAGACCCTAAATATTTGTTTGCAGGAAATCGTTAAATTCTAACAATTTTTGGTTTACTTGAGAGGATGAAATTTTGAACCCCTCCCATATCAGAGTCATTCAAATATAATTTAGTTTGAAATGATTGGGAAACTACTCTTCCTTGGGCATGTATCAAAGAAATTTGTAGGAAATATTTTCCTACTTAAAAATTATCTTATACTCCAGAGTATAGCATAAACTGAGCTAAATGGAAACTTTATTATATAATTTAATATATATGAGTACCACGTTGCTTTCAACTGTCTATGGAGCCTCATCCCTTCAAAATACTGTATGTATATACACATACATATATGTGTATGGATATATATACATATATAAATATATTTATGGATATATATACATATATATATATTTATGGATATGTATATGTGTGTGTGTGTGTGCGTGTGTGTGTGTGTGTGTCCTAAAACTGTAGAGTCGAAAAACTGTACAGGGCAGAAAAAACAACTATTTGTTATTCTTAGAAGTTACCTTGAGTTATTTTTGAGGTAAGACAGCATATAAATACATAAGTCAATAAAATAATGACAAGCTTTTGTACAGATAGTCAAAATGCAGTCAATGATATCTTTTTTTTTCAAATTTTTGTTTAAATTCTACTTAGTTAATATAGTGTAATACTGCTTGCAGGAATAGAATTTAGTGATTTGTCACATGCATATAACACCCAGTGGTCATCATAAGAAGTATCCTTCTAGATACCCATCACCCATTTAACCCATCCCCCAAGATAACCATTGTGCTTAGCAAAATATAAACTTGGCCGTTATTTCTCACATCCAGAACTAATGGCTCATTTTTCTTTCATTTGAGTATATAAATAGCAATGGACACACAATAACAAGCAGGAAGACAGAGGTACTGGAATACTGTGTGAATATGTTTTCTCTCAGTAAACCATTGCATCATTACACTGTGATGCAGAAGAAGCTTTGTCAAATGCATTAAAGCAACCCCACATCATCCATTTCTCTCCACAAATAACATGTATTTAGAAACATTTTGGGCACACCTTTATAACCCTGCAGGACTAAAGTAATGATACCACATGTGGGAAGAGCAACTTCTAACCAAAACACTTTCATATCATGCATACACCCACACATATACAGCACTGGGGGTAAGCGTCTACGACATGGTGCAGTGGGTACTCGGCACACAGCAGGCTATGACAGTGTGGGGTGGGGAAATTTGGATACAAGAGCAAACTTGTATTCTTTCACAATAGACCAAAGATTCACTCGCTCATACCTTAATGGAGAAAAAGTAAAATATAAGAGATTCCACACAATGCTAAGCCAATTCTGAACCAAGTTAAAAGTTTTCTAGGAATAATATTTACATTAGTATAAGGCCCCCTGTTGTGACAAACTTTTTATACTGAGGCTATTTTATTTACTTTGCCTATTCTGCCAATTCAGAGTGCTTGAAAAAAGCTATGTAAACCAGTACTCGTGAAAATATAGGGTATTGGATAAACATTTAGACTCATTTAGATTACTTTGATTTAAAGATTTGGATTGCTCAGACTGTTTCTAAGCAAGTTACAGGTTTTAAAAATGATGAATTCAAAGACTTGTTAGTTTGAGAAAAATAGTTTTCAGAAAGTCAAAATAATCATCCCCAAATTTGCACAAGGATTGGAATATTATAAAAAAAGTGGAATTCACATAATTTCCCATGAATGTATTTGCATTACCATTTTGTTTCTTTTTAAAAAATAAGTATTTATAATGGTTGCTGAGGTAAACCTAATTTTTTATCAGAGTTCTTTTTGCATTGTTTTGTAAAGCAATATTTAATTAAATATATAGGAATTAAATTAAATATTTAACTAAATATATAGGAACTAAAGTTCCTATAGGCATTAACTGCTTAATTACTAGGGGTTTAAGTATATTGTCTCCCAAAGAGGCTACTATTTGTGTTATGCAAATACAATGCAATTACATTTTTTCTTAAAATTTATATTTAAGATAATTAAGTAAAAGTAATTGAATCAAGTGATTTTTTTTTTTTTTCAGGGATGAAAAAATAAAGGAGATGTGGCTAGCTATGCTGGGAACAAATCTGCAATTTTAGTAGAAAAATTAGTTGAACAATTATATATTATAAGAAAATTTAGTAAGTGCTTGAAAATAATACTGGCCCTAGATACCTGCTATGACATTGAGAATCCTTCAATTAGATGAATGTAACATGTTTCCTATCTGTTCATCTAACACTGTATGTATTCTTAACCAAGATGTGAGCCAGAATCATCTGGGGAGGTATTTTTAAATGCACTTTATTCCAGAAATTTTAGTTTAGTAGACTGGACTGTTTGTGATTCCCCAGCCCAAATTCTTGGCTTGGACGTGTTTCAATTCAACCACTGAATGCTATATCATAGGTGGCCAAGTCAAGCAAATAATATGCTCTCGTATAGATTAACTTTCTAACTGTTTAGCTATTATACTTGGACATGTGACCTTGTGATCTCTTTTTCACCAAATAGTTCAAAGGATGCTGCTATCAAAACCAAACTCTTTCATTTATTATAAAGAATCTCAACATTAAGAATGGATTCTAAAGATACACGGGTTGGACAAAGCATTTTACTTTTGCCTTATTTTTAGGTCTCTTTTCTGACAAGAAAGGCTACAGTTAGAACTTCTTTGTGCAAATAAATTTTCCCTTAATTTTTGAACTAATTTTGCTAAAGCAAATGATTATTTCCTTCATGGAGACTATTAGAAGATTGTATGTGTTATTTCTGTTTAACATATACTTAAAAATCATTTTGATCCATCAACTATCTCAGTTGATAAGATGAAGGATGTTTAAATATCTTTTCACTGCGTGAGGGAAGACGAATGGAATTTGACGAGAATATCCTTAGCTGAAGGGGGATGGTGGTTGTTTGGATTTAAATATACAAGGGGCTATGTTTCCCCACCAAACACTGCCTGGGTGCAGAATATGCTGTCTGCTTTTTTACTGATAACCACATTCCTCTACTTAGAGTTAAGAAAGTGAATTTACCGTGTCTGAGAAACGGTAAAACTTCTCCAATGCAAAAGCTTCTGTCTGTGGGAAGGTAAAGTGGACCAAGAGGGATTGAGAAACCAGAGAATCAAGTCATATATGAGTAAATATAATTGCACAATTGGTTTTAATTGCATATATCATTTTCACATACACATTAATCGATTTCACATATGCAAGGTATGCAACCCCCAAAGTATGAAATGAACTTAAAAAAAAAGCTATTTTTTTTCCTGCACTAAATCTCAGTTACATTATTTGCTCCCTGTATATTTCAACTGGTCATTAGAAAATAATAAGGTATTACTATTTGTGCATTTCCGTATTTTCCTAGAGAGCCTCTCACTAGAAAATTTAATCTTGTCGTCTTTCTGTGAACTAAAGAATAATGGGCTTCAGTATGTATCCTGATATTCTCATAGGTAGTAAACTTAAAGAGCTGCTTTGGTAGGATAATCCTTTTTGAGGAGGGACCAGAGTTGAGCATCTAGACTTACAATACAGTCTATCATGTTACTCATTGGACACTATGGCTGTTGGATGTGTGGTAGGTGTGGAAAATGCCCAAGCTCTTAGCCCTCATTTGGACACCATGTACCTAATACTTCTCAGCACCTGGCTGATACACTTAAAATTGTATAGAAATGAGGAGGGAGGTAGAGAAATGGACAATAAAAGCAAAAAAGCAAACCAAAATGAGAAGAGGAAATAAGCATTACTTTGTAGTAATATTAGAAGGAAAAAATGGTCTTTATCAGTCATTTAAAAGGAAAGAAAAAACAGAAGCTGAGCCCTTATGATAGAGAATTTTTTTTTGTTCTGTGATAGTGTTTCAGCCAGTGCCAAGTGTCATGAGAGAAAGGAGAGCAAGTAGACAGTAGGAAGGGAGAAAGAAGGAGAGGAAAGAGACAGTAAAAGAATGAGAAAGGTACAAGGAAACCAGTAGATGGGGGTGTGATGGGGAGAAGAGGATAAAGAAAAGTTAATCTCTCCATCAAAATGTGTTTCAATATATAAATAATGTGCTTTTATTTTCATAACAACTTGATCAAATATAAGCCCAAGCACTGTGTTAGTCCAATGTGTTGCTCAGAGAATCACAATCCTGATGTTCCTTCCATGCTATTGTGAATTGGGTATTTTTTATGATTTGGGGGAGTCAAATAGATAGGACTGAATACACTATCATGTTAGAATATGTTTACTGCTCAGTACTGAGAGATCATACGCTTGGGGTTTACAAAATTTAAGGAATATAAAATTGCAGCAAATAATTCAGAAACTATAAGGAATCCTTAAAAAAATTAAATCCTTTCAACATCCTTAAAAGTGCATACTATATGAACCAAACTACTCTGTTGAAGATTTGAGCATGTTTTGACTTAAATATTCCAATATATGGGATTCTAGACACAGTTTCTCCTGTGCATACAACTTTGACATTTCTCTATTGCATGTGAGTCCATTTGCTTTTAAATGTCAGTTGGCACTTTCATATTAAAAGAAGTAAACTCATAGATATGCTGGTCAATAGAAATTTTCCCTTACAGAAAAGTAAAGGGGGTTGATTGGACGTATGTGCACATATAAACAGAGATGACATTACAAGTATTAATAGAGGGGAACGACCCCATTCTGCACATCTACATTCAATTATGAGATTATTTCTACAACTTCTTGTGGTCTTCTAATGATGTTCTAAATACAATTTCTTCTGGGTTTCATTTAACAGGTGTAGCCAGGCAAAAATAGCACCTTCTTGTGTTTCCCATAGAGCTTCAGAATAAACAACTTAACAACATGAAAGTATGCATAAACTTTTCCACATACTTTTACATGAGTATCATAGCATTAATAAATAGATATTGGTTTATGGAAACAATTAAAGGAATTAGTTTGATGAAAAGGAACAACTTTAATAGTTATATTTGATGACATGTTAAGTCAGACCATCAGTAAGATCCTCACACTGCAAGTAAGAAATGATATATTTTGTTAATTGAAGCAAAAAATGGTGTTGTTCCAGGAAGTACATTAGAAAGAAGTTGATAAATTCTCATGTCACCAGATATGTTGTGTAAAGTAGACCTAGGTGTCACCATTTTCTCCCTGAAGCTATTTTTGACAATTTCAGTTTCGATTGGACAAAACCAAAGGAATATTCATCTGATTGGGTCCTCAGATTCCATTTACTCTCTGTGCCACTGTATTAAATGTAACAAATTTACTGTCCAATGAAAATTGGTATCCCAGTGAACCCAACGCATTTAATCACCTACCTTATTCTTTCTCTTTCGTCGAAATCTCAGAAGTTCTTTGTGTTGTCTAGATACAAAATTTACAGCTGCATATTCCAGAAGTGCTGAAAACACAAAAAGGAGGCATACTGCCATCCAAATGTCAATAGCTTTGACATATGAAACCTGGCCAAGAGAGAAAGAGAGAGTGAGCAAATTGACTTGTACTGTTGTTTCCACTGAGTACAAAACTGAACATCTGATTCTACATTGTACCATTTATATCATCTTGAAAAAGAAAGGAATAAGATCAATACTTCTTGAGCTTAATAAACACTTTTTAGAAATTAATTGTGCAAGTTTATATATTAATCATACATCAAAACTTATGTATGTTTTACTAAATAAAGTTTGTTGTCAACTGAGGCACAAGACCAAATGTATGATTAAGACAAAATAAGTTGGAAATGTAATTTTACCTTCAGTGAAATCTGGAACAACGCTTGAAGAAAGCATAAAGTAACATCGAAATATATGTTTCGATATATATATATCGATAATGCCATTTACCTGTTAGTTCCATGTTTTCTTCATTACTTTTTTTAATTTGAAATAATTTTAACATTAGCAAACGTGTTGCAGGAACAGTAAAAAACATAAAAATAAAAAACAAAAAAAAAAACCTCCCAAGTTCTCCAGTTGTTAATATTTGACCAAATGTCAAATATATTTCTCTCTCTCTATCTTTATCATTTATGGCCTTTCCTTGAACTACTTGAGAGTAATTTGCAAACACGATGCCTTATCACCCTAAAATACTTGTGTGTATTTTCTAAAAGAAAAAGACAATCTCCTCCTATATAACTCAAGTACACCCCCCAAAATCAGATTGACGTTAGTAAAATACAACCATCCAACCCAAAAACCCATTCTCATTTCAGCAATCGTCCAAATAATGCCCTTTTTACCAGAAAAACATTTGTCCTTCCAGTCCAGGATTTAATCTAGAATTATATGCTGTCCCTTGGCATCAGATCTCTTTGGGCTTCAATGTGGAACATTATGGTCAGCCTTTTCTTGCCTTCTGTGACCTTGATATTTTGGATAAGTGCAGACCAGATTTTTTTTTTAGTGTCTCCCACTTTTGGCTTATTTGATGTTTCTTTACTTTATACTCAGGTTATGGGATTTTAATAGGAACAGTGATGCCCTGTTCTTCAAGTGTATCATATCAGAAAGCACTCAATGTTGATCAGTTGGTTAAGGTGCTATCTACTAGGTCTCTCTATTATAAAGTTACCAGTTTCTCTTGAGTAAATAAATATCTTCTTACTCATTAAGTTTCATCCATTAGACCTTGATGATTTTTGTCTGAATCAATTATCACAATGATGATTCCCACATATGGATTTCTGAATTCCATCATTCCATCTACATTCATTAGTTAGCACTCTACAGTAAGAGAAGTTTGTCTTCCACATTACTTATATCAGTATAGACAAGTAATGATTTTGTTCAATGGGTTACCATGCATTAACATCACTATTTTGATGCTCACATTACACAGATTGGGTCAGTAGGAGCCCCTAGAAGTTAGGCCATGCATCCTTTTGGCAAGTCTCCATCATGATTTGGGTACTTTCTCACTTTCTGGCATAAGGCATTCCAGACTCATCTGTAATTTCTTGTTCCAGTATTTGACTGAGGGCTTTCTCTAAGAATCCTTTTTTTTTTTTAACTGAAGAATGACTTTTAGAAACCAAGGATCTGGGCACTGGGTGTGCTTATTGTTTCCTGGGTATAACTACTTATAGGCCCTCTTAGTAGGCAGAGTTAGGAATGATATACATACATATATAACTAATATATATGATAAATGGTATATATACATATATATGATACATATATATAATTATGTATAATAATATATATAAATTATGTATAATATAATATATATTATATAGAGAAATATAATATATTATAATGTATTATATAATAATTATTATTATATATACAACATATATATAACTTACCTGTCTATCATCTATCTCTGTATCTATCATTTATCTATCTATATTGAAAACATGAATTCACACTGGCATCTCTAATTCCAACTCAATATGACAGGGTTCACTCTAGCTTTCACTCTTTTCACTGATGAAACACTTTCTTGGACAGTGACAAACTTGTCTGATTATCTTTAACATATATTTGAAGAGTCTCCCTGTATGTAACTAATATCTTAATTCCGCTGGCCCCCTCCAGCCTCAGCCCCATTAATCCCAGATGCCTTACTGACTCGGGCCTCACACTCAAAGTCCCCACTGGCTGCCTTGGTCCTGACCATGTCCTTGACCCCTGGACTCTTGTCCTGCCCACCCCAGCCAGCATCGTTGACCCTGACTACCCCCTTAGCTCCACAGGGTCTTCCTGTCTTCTGCCACTCAAAGGTAAGAAAGAGAATATAAAGAAAGGAAAAAGAAAATAACAGAACAGAGAAATTTAAAAATTATTACTATTTTGGGGCTGCCTGGGTGGCTCAGTCCGTTAAGCATCGAACTTCAGCTCAGGTCATGATCTCCATGTCTGTGGGTTTGAGCCTCGCGTTGGGCTCTGTGCCTACAGCTCAGAGCCTGAAGCCTGCTTCAGATTCTATGTCTCCGTCTCTCTCCATCCCTCCCCCACTCACACTCTCTCTCTGTCTCTCAAAAATAAACAAACATTTAAAATTATAAAAAAAAAAGTATTACTATTTTTGATAGGAAAAAAACACACAAAAAGAAGCGAAGCGAAACAAAGGAACGTAAAAAGGAGGAAGTATGTCCCTATTTCCTAGAAACAGATTCATACAGACCAAAGACCTTTGGAGGGAACAAGTCAGTAACCTTTAAGAAACTGCTTTAATTTTTCTCTCAGCTTAATGGTGTGGTGATTTGATGATGCAATTGAACAAATGTTGCGGTATGTCAGTTGCTTAAGGATGAAAATTTTCTGTAAGTTTTAGTATCTTTTCTTATTGAATATGTATGTGCCTGTATTACACACAGTGTTGTATCATGAAACCAATATCAATAAAATCATCACCTTTTGTGCCATGAGCATGAGATAATTCATTTTGTTAGATAACTTAGTCATGCCAATTAGATGTGGGAAAAAATATTCTCTCATTTGCCAGGAATGAGATTAAGAATGAAAGATATTGGGGAGCCTGGGTGGCGCAGTCGGTTAGGCGTCCGACTTCAGCCAGGTCACGATCTCGCGGTCCGTGAGTTCGAGCCCCGCGTCGGGCTCTGGGCTGATGGCTCAGAGCCTGGAGCCTGTTTCCGATTCTGTGTCTCCCTCTCTCTCTGCCCGTCCCCCGTTCATGCTCTGTCTCTCTCTGTCCCAAAAATAAATAAACGTTGAAAAAAAAAATTTAAAAAAAAAAATTAAAAAAAAAAAAGAATGAAAGATATTTATGCAAAGCTTTTTTTTTTTTTTTTAATATTCTTCCTGGGAAATGGATAATTACCTAGAACTTTGCTTCCCCACTGATAGAAACAAATGTCCCTTCCCTAAGAAGATGTGGATCCAGGACAGCAGAAATATAGATGAGATGCAAGCAAAGATGTGCTAATTACTTCTTGGAACTCAATGTACCTTAGAGATCAAAATCTTATGCTTTAGAAATTTGACTATTTCTGTGCTGTCTGTATATTCTGTATTTTTTTCTCTCTTCATTTCTTCATATTTAATGATGTTATTTTTGTCAGATGTCAACATTTGGAAACCTTGATAAAATTTAGGTTGTGGTTCAAAGGAGGGAAGTCTATCATGGGGAGAGCAGTAAATACTAAAGTGAAGAAAAACCCCTCTCCCACCCTTCTCAGTTGGCCTTTTAGGTCTCAGGCTAGACTTTGCCCAAGTCTGGTTCAGAATCCCATGGCACTTGTGCTTAACTGAACACACTACACTGTAATTGCCTATTCTTATTCTCTTTCTGTTTAGACTCTTTGTGGGCAGATGTCATCTCTGAGTTGTTCACCACTGCAATAATGTTTGGCATGTGTGCACATATTTGCTGAATAAGTGGACAGATAAATGAAGGCGTAAAATGTTAAAATACAGGTGAAAAATGAATCACAGATGATGATTTATGTGTAGCTTCGCTTTCTGAAGTGATGTTTTGTTCATATCTTGGAATGGATTAATTATCTTTTAAAAAGAGGTCATTTCTTGACGCTTACAATGGTGTCAACCTACATATGAAATATGCCAACAAGGGAGCCCTCAACATCTCCTCCTCTATCTTAAGTGTGACTTCCAGGCATTTTATTTCAGGGCTGTACTAAGTGTCCAATTGTTTATAAAATATAGATTTAAACCTCATGAGTTCTACAATTTGCCAGAAATCTTTGGCTGCCCTCAAATACATACTGTCCTGGAAGATATGATACAGATTTCAAAAATGCTATCTCAAACTACACCATTCCTGGAAGAATATGACTCACAAAGTGTGTGCTCATTCTTTAACAACCTGAATCTATAATGTTGTGAACCAGAGATAAATCAGAAATTTAATTTCCGTATTAATCCAATGAATATTTCCAATGACAACAGAGATAGGTATACGTCATTTATGCCTGCCAGGGTTCTGCTCATTGTGAACAGCTCCCGAGTGTTAAGCCTGAAGGGCTTACTTTCCTTGTCCTCTTCTCTGACCCCCTTCGCCAATTTCAACTCTTTTTCTCCTCTGCCACCCTCACTGCTCATCTCGGTACAGCAAACTCAGGATGTGGGAAGTTTGGAACTCTAGGGATAGTAACTAAAATATGGACAACAGTTCTTACTCCAACACATGCACAACATACTCATGATATACAACACACCCCATGTGATTCAGATTCATCACCGTCTTTCCATCCTCTACTTGTTGCTGTCTCTTGGGGAAGACTTACTCCAATCAAGAGGCACTTCATTCCTCTGAACCACCTTGTCAACAGTCCCAACGTCCAATGTGCTGTTGGAACCATGATTCAATTTTATGCAACAATCCCTTCTCGATATTACCCCTTGAATAGAAAAGTATGAGAAAATAAAACCTAAACATTTACTAATTAAATGCACCAGTCAGGAGGACCTTTGTCCTGGAGACCCCTTCAAAGCCACCGTACTGAAGGTTGCTTCCTTCTTGGAGCCCACTCTTC